TTTGAGCTATTGCAAACAACTGCCAGAGCCGCACTCAGCTTGGTAGCTTTCAGGTATAACAAACTTGGGAAGCATACCTGAGGAGTTGTGACATTAAAATTACTGTCAATGGTAAATGGCTCAGAGTAATGTTGGCTTTTTTTAAAGCTATTATGCAGTGCACAGCCCGCAAGAATGACTGGCCTTTGGATAAGATGTGTCTGACGGTAGAGGTTACCAAAAAGTTCAGAGAAGATTATGGCCACCCACCCAGAGAAGGAGCATATATTTGTGGTCTTTTTATGGAAGGTAAGATGTCTAGTTTAACTGCTTGATTTAATCAGCCTTATAATTACTGATGTTAGAATTTTTCTGCATGTTTCTCTAAAGTGGGTCATTGTTGCCACAAGTAGTTAGCTCTTCACTAGTCATTTTGGGATAGATGATAGATTTATTTAGGCCAGGATTCATACAGAGCCAGTGTCTCTACTCCATAAACTTACACTAGCATTAACAAAGCATTAAGCTTGACTGTACTGTAACAGAGCAGCAGTTCCACTACGTAGCCATTATTAAGAAACACTTCCTGTTTGACACCAAGACTTTTAATTGAATTGTCTTGAACCTTGCAGTGCTCCAAGAGTAGCATTGGCAGGGCAAAGTTGGTGTCATCTCAGCAATAGGTTCCAGAGATACAGCTCTCCTAAAATGAACCTGTTTGCAAGATAACCTGGTTTTAACAACTTTTTGCTACACTTGAGGCCAAACCAAACATATTAGTCACACTTATCCTCCCCAAAATAATCTCAGCTATTTGGAATTTCTCTCAAATTCCCTATGGAGAAGCAATACTGAAAAAGTTAAAATGTAACATTTGGTGTGAGCTAAACTGAAATGACTAAAAGCATGAAATGTGCACAGGCAGCAAGAATAGCGATCTTCTGAAACTAGTCCTTCTGTTAAGAATGGTAACTGAGCTGCATCTGTGCACTCCATGTAGGAACCCTGCCTTAACAGCTTTCTGAGGACATGAGTTGTGCCCTGCTGGTTGTACTGCCATACTCCTGGAGCTCCTTTTTTGAAAGTTTTGCCCTGAGAGAAAAATCTCTCACAAACCAGTAGTTAAGTGCTCTAAAATCAACCTTCAGAGCCTTTCACTTTAGAAATGTCAAGACATGAGCCTTGTCTAACAGACAGCAATAGAAGACTGCAGCGGGCATTTATGCTAATGTAACTGTTTCTTGTGCAGTGGCACTGAGCATGGTCAAAGGAAAGCAAATGGGTAGGTCAAGGGGTTCCTGACGCAGTGCTCCACCACCCCCTTTACATGAGCTGCTCAGAACGTTTTCCGGTTCTAACACTTTGGTGTTGAACCAGGAATAGTTTCCTAGGCTGCTGCTTGCAATTGAGAAGAGGTCCCAGGGTCATTGTTGCCCCCTGCTGCTTCCAAGATGAAAGTGGGATCCACAGTATTTAGCAATCTGCCCCCCCCCCCTCCCCGCAGTACTGAGAACAGGCATTTAAATGCAGAAATGTGGGTGAGGAGCTGGGAATGGGCATGTTCGTTCAGTAAAAGGAACGGAGCACTTCATATCTCTCTGACTTGGATGCAAAAGAGCCCCTTCCCCATGTGCCAGAGCCCACTGTTGGACCGTATGCAGTGAGGGATGCTGGAAGGGATTCAGCTTTGCTCCATGCTATTCCCTGCATCCTTTCCTTTACCCTGAGGAGCCTGTGTGTGGGCTAGAAAAGATGATGATGCAAAAATAGCAAAATCACTGTCAGTATGTTCTAGGGCACATGGAGATTCTGAGAAGTTATTTCAGACATACACAGACAACACCATTTTGGATTATTTAATAACAGTTAAAGTTTGCCTTGTGCCCTTTCAAAATGTTAACTTCAGTTACACTCAGTCTAATGCTCACTTCTGAAAGCCAGGAAATACAAAGTTATGGTACATGCCACTCCAGCAGTGCTATCTGAGTGATGTCCCAACACACATACTGGATGTAATAGGAGCAGAAAGGTTTTTAACCTTTGCATTTGGGACTACCTACCCCACTCCCTGGACTACATTCAAACCTTAAGTCTAATCCATACAAGTCTTCCCATACCTAGAAAATGTTCCTACCTGCTCTTGCCTTAAAGATCCTTTTGTGACACTGCCCTTCATTTACCCCTAAAATCCAGGACCTCTGCTCATGTATTCCACCCCAGCTGACCACCAACAGAACACACTGCTGAAGAGAGGCATACCTGGTCACTGGAAGTGCAGTACACTACCACCTCTTGTCAGAGCAAAGTAATATCTGTCAACCTGCTTCAACCCTTCACCATTCAATACAGATACTCCTAACACACTGAAGGCAGATAAACTGAAATCTGTGGAACACAAAGAAAATCAGAACTTGTTCTTAGAACTTCCTCTTGACTATTTATTGTCCCACCCTTTTCCCTTACTGAACCTTTGATAGCAGCAATGAGTTTGTGTTTCCTGGTTTTTAGAGGAAGGAGGATAGGTGAACTCAACATCTGGAAGGACACAATGCAGCATAGGACAGCTTTTATAATCTTGTGCTCATACACACAAGCCTGCTGTAGCTCCTAGTTGTGTGCAGCTTTGAGAGATGCAAATATATTTTTGTTACTAACAAAACTGTGCCTAAATACAGTAAGCTAAAAGATCAGTACAAGATAAGCTTTTCCTTATAAATCTAATAATTTGTTTAGCCTGTTTTATAGCATATCCAAACACAGTATGGTTTTACACATCTCCTCAATTTTCTTATGAATCTTACATCAAGCAGAATTCACAAATGACAGGGGTGCTTTGCACAATTTTTTTAAACAAGTACCGTTAAGCTTTAAGAGGGATGTAAATTTGAAATAGCATCTCCCCCTCTCCCAGGGCCTATTCCTGTGTGCACCTTCATCTCCCACTCAAGTTAACTGAGGGCACTTGGCAGTTTGCAGCATATAGACTTTCAAGTGTGAACACCTGGCACAGCAGGTATTACCTTGATGAAGCTGTCAAGATCAACCCTTATTTCCCAGAGAGAGGTTGATCTTCACTAGCTACATCATGGTAAAAACTTACCTGGGCCTTTTCTCCAGTGACATGTTACAGCAAGCCAATTATGTCCAGCTGGCTATTCTTGCTGAAAGAAGGGAAGGTCAAGAGCTCAGACTCAAGTATCTACACTCCTATTTTAAACCCTACAGCCTGAGCCCTTGACATGCGAGTCCCTGTTGTGTGTTTTTAAATTGTACCTTGAGTTACTCCATTTAGATTGGTGTGGAAAATCCAGCCCCTTAACTTCCACTCTTCTAGTTGTAGAAGTAATGTTGCATCACGCATGTTCCCACAAAGAATAGACCACAGTCATTTAATCTAGAAGGCAGCATTAACAAAACTACAGATTCTAGCAGGCATTTCTGTAGTGTGTGATGAGATCTACAAGTAAGAGTATGCAGCTGCACTATAGAATACCATGGACTACAGTTTTGCCCTCTGGCCATATCTGCTCTACCCTCAGGCAAGGTATTTACCAATAAGCAGCTATTAAAAATGGAGACTTGAATCATTTGTATGGCACACAAGAGCAGCATTTATAACACTCAGAATTGTGTGTGTTCTTGCTACAGGAGCGAGATGGGACATCCAGTCAGGGGTCATAGCTGAAGCCCGGCTCATGGATCTGACTCCAGCAATGCCAGTCATCTTTGTACGAGCTATTCCAATGGAGCGACAGGACACCAAAAACATATATGAATGTCCAGTATATAAAACTAAAAACAGAGGCCCCACATATGTTTGGACTTTCAATCTGAAGAGCAAGGAGAAATCTGCTAAATGGGTACTTGCAGGAGTAGCTTTACTCTTGGCAGTTTAATACTGAGCCTACAGTCACATGGAAAAGGAGATAAATGTTTCTCACATTATGTCCTACTGTGATAATGTTATACAACACTTTAAAAGTGTGGATCTCTATAAACTGGATTTACGTCCTTTGTTAATCAACATTTTCCCTCAGTTTATGGAAAATTAAAACAGCTCCATGTACTGTTTTAACCCACAAAATGCTCCTCCATGGTTTATCATCTCTACACAGAATGAAACATACAATATTTTACAAACAGTTTGCAGTAATATGGGTTTTTTAAACAGTGTTGTCTATAAAGCCTGCCTTTAAGCAGACATGTGCTCTTGAACATATTAAGCAGCCAATTAGGAATTAAAATGAAACTTACTTTGCACTGTAAAATTAAAAGAGTGTATAGTGTTCTGACTGCAGGTGCATCACTGTGCCAAGCTCTTTTCTTCACAATGAGCAGGGTGTGTCATTTATTTTTAAACAAAGAGGAAAAAATGTTTCCCCTTTACACCCCTTGCACTCTCAAGTTCTTGAGATTAAAGAGGAGGGAAAGGGGGAGCGAACAGTTAGGTGGTAAAAACAGCACATAATTTCACTCCAGTTCTGGGTGAATTGTAAGTTTCCAAAAACGGACACTCTCCATCTTTGCAGGGGAAAACTTACTTTTTCCCCAAACTGAGGAATGCAGTTACTTGATTTGCTCATGAACCAACAGCAAAGGCTTTGACTCTTTTGGTCAGGGAGTAGTATTGTATCCCCATGCAAACTGGCGTGGGAAAAGACTAAAAATGTAATAATACTTTTTGGCCTAAGAAAAGTATTTTTATTTTAAGATCTTGGGCTCCCCCCCCCCACTGGTTAAATTTTAGTGCTACATAATTTCCCTTCACAGCTTTTGGAGTTGAGCATTGACTTGGTTCTGAAGCTCTACTAAATACTAACCACTAAAGTTTTAAAAGTGCTGTTCTGCTCTGTGTGTACAGACGAGTCTGCAGAAAATAATGGATCCTCTATTAAAACATTTTCTTGAGAAATCTTTATATAAAAGACCAATCAGTAAAAACAAATACAAGGTATGTTCTACATTTCTATCTTGTATAAACATAATTGTAATTTTTTTAAAACCCTGAACTAAATTTTTTTAAACAAAAAAAAAAACTTGTCTGCAGGTCAGGCAGCTGTGCTCAGCATCCTTAATTGTCTTCGCTCAGTTGTTTTTGTAAACTAGAAAACAAGTAGAGAAATGTTACTTTATGGGAATCTGATATTTTTAAAAGCATTAACAAAAGCATAGAACGGTGTTGGAAACCCCAGCCATGGCTTGCCTTGATCTGGCCCATGAGGCTCAGGCCTCCTCCCCACCCCCTTAGAGCCAAGACAGCACGTATATAAGTTCTATAATCATCATCTTACCTTTCAAGATATTCTTTAACATTGTCATAACCATAAAATTTTGCCAAGTGGATAAGCATTCCTGTGGCACAGCGGCCATCACGCTTACGACAGTAACTGCAGTTACAGACACCACGACAAGGCGGGCAAATCCAATCCTGAATTACAGACAAGGAGGGAAAGGTATAGGGGCAGAGTTATCTACAGAAGTATTATACTAGGTACATTAAATACCTAGTAGGCAGTTGGGTAACCATGTAACTACTGAAAATGTCAGTGGTTACACTGAAAATGTCAGTGGTTACACAATTACACGCACCCACAGCACAGGGTGGCAACCGGCTCTCTGGGAATTGGTGCATGCTGGAAGCTAATTTTGAAACCACTCTTGTGCACATCAGCTCCTGCCTACTGGCCCTGCTCCCAGGGAGCTGGCTGCTGCCCCAGAAACAGCTCTAATAGAGCTAACAGTGCAGGGTGGCAGCCGGCTCCCCAGAAGTGGGGCAGGAGCCTGCACATAACCGTTAACAGTTTAAACAGGTCTGCATTAAAGATGTAAAAGTATAACCATCTTCTTCACCCCATTAATGACCCTAAACAGAAGTTCCACTTCCTGTAACAGAGCTCATGATACTGTGTGTGTGTTAGTCTCTAAGGAGCTATAGACTACTTCATGTAACAGTACTTTATATAAGGCAATACTGTATTATGTAAACAAATATTGTAAGCACCTTATCAAAGATTGGTTAATCAGTGTGCCATACTGAAAAGAACACTATCCGTTCTTTACTTTGAAAAATTCCTAGCTCACCCTCAACAAATTCTAGTAATAATGATTTCCTGAAAGATATAGTGTTGTAAAATAATTGAAAGAGTGAGGCTCTTCCATTCCAGCACCTTAGGAGATAAGTCTCCATTATTAAGATTCAGGATAACTATGGCTGAGCCATATTGAAAGATTATACCCTGGTTGGAGCTAATTGGATCAAAGAGAGGTAGAATGTCTCTGAGCCCAGAAACAAGCAGAGAAGGTCTTTAAGCAGGAGCCCTAGGCTAAGGTTTATATTTCAGTTACCAGTGAACCCAAATTCCAGGGAGGGATGGGTTTGTCACTCAGCAGCTGTGTGAAAGACAGCCAGTTTATCTGAAAGGGAAAACATTTTGAAAAAATGTTTTTTAAAGACAACATTAAAAAAACCAGACAGGAGCTCAGAGCAAGGAGAGGTGGTTGGCTCCCTGCAACACGTGACTTCAGGAACTGCATCAGACAAAAAGATGGCCATTGCTCCGGAGGGCAGGGAAACTGCTTAACAGGGTGACAGACCCAAGATTTTGTATAAAAATGTTGGGCTTTTCTGTTATTAGGCTCAACTCTGTTATGCTGGAAGGTGGATCTGATTACTTCCACAAGGATAAAGGGGGGAAGAAAGCAGGATTTGTATCTCAGCCAGAGAGGAGGGCAACAAAAAGGCAAGCCTGGAAAAGCAGCTTAGGCTGAGTTTTATGGTGCTAATTGTATATGAACTGCCAAGAGGGATAGTTTAGTGGTTTGAGCCTGCTAAACCCAGGGTTGTGAGCTCAATCCTTGAGGGGGCCATTTAGGGATCTGGGGCAAATCTGTCAGGGATGGTACTTAGTCCTGCCAAGAGGGCAGAAGACTGGACTTGACCTCTCAAGGTCCCTTCCAGCTCTATGAGATAGGTATACCTCCATATTATAATTATTAAGACAGCCAGACCCTATGAAAGGGAATTGATTTGGACACTACAGGTCTATGTGCTCTGCTGAAGACAGACTAAGGGCTCTGGGAAAGAAAGAGGACCTACATTCTTGAGGTTCTTTCCAATGTTTACATAGCAGACAAGACCAGTGTAAGCATCAGGAAAGCAGGCACTTGGGAGAATCAGGTCCCCTTTCTTCTAAGCCTCATTAGTTATCTTTCCCGCTCCTGAGTGCAACTAAGAGCAGGTTGAAAGCACCACACTCTCATCCCTACTTCAGCAAGATAAATATCAATCCCTGCCACCCCACTCAGGCTTTTATGTGACATAATGTTTGTATTTCACATTATGCAAGAAATCCATGATGATTTTGAAGCTACAAAAGTCTTAATTGGATACCCACGGGGTCCAGAAGGGCTGATTTCACATCTTCACCATATCGATTACGAAGACACGGTCCACAGAACTGCCCCCTCACACCACCGCACCCTTGATTACGACAGACTGTCTTAGTATCAATTGTCTTCTGCCGACACTGATGGCATGTACTACCCTGAAGTTGGAAAGGAAAGGGAGAGAGAGGAGTAAAAATTCAGCATTTCATATCATGATGAACTTCTGATGCCAGGAATTGGAATTCTCTAAACGCACCTCTCAGCTTGAGGTAGAGAAAACTAACATTCCTCCTTCGGAGCAAGATGCAACTAGATTAATAAAACACCAGAAAAAAACGTAACTTCCAACACCATGATTATTTCTACAGTCTTTGGAAGTATGCGAGCTACAAAACACAGAGACAAACCCTGTTCTGAATGCTTAGGAATCTAATGTGTCACATGAGCCCATGTTACATTTCTGGTTCCAATCCACCCTGGGCAAAGGCTAAGAACCTACAGAGTCATTCAGCAGTGATTTCTCTAGGAAAGTAAGGTACACCATTGCTACACATCAAAAGGATCTCCATGCAGGTCTCTGTGGTGAAAACATGGGCCCTTAAAGGTGGGGGAGGGAGGATGTTAAACAAGGGAACATGGCGATTCTCTGAACTCTTTAAGGGTGCAAAGGCCTCTCAGGAGCGGGAGAAACACTGCCTAATGGATGCATATATTTACCAGTCGATACATTAGACTGCCGCCCCTCTACTGCATCTGCAATCCACTGCGCTAGAAATTGAAACCTATGACTCCCTCGGAAGTAAAGCACCATTAACCTCAATCTTTGCTGGGAGGGATTCTGGAAGCAAAGAACCGGAGCAAGAGGAAGACAAGTGCAATCTCCATGGAGTAATTACTGCAACTTATTTACCCTCCTGCCAGTAAGGCCACCAGATGAAGAATACCACATGGCCTACAAAATAACTATATACACTAGTCTAAAGAAATCATAGGATTAGGTAAGCTTTGTGCAGTGATTCCTGTGACAGCATCAAACCACAAATCAGAGGGACCCGTGTGCATTTTAATTTTAAAGTATGCACAAGCAATGTGTCAAAGTGGGTGTTTAGAAGAGCAGCCCTGCTTATGCAACAACATGCCAGACACACACAAAAACGTCCTTTTGAATAGTCCTGTCTCTTCCAGGTTCTAACACTTCAGGGTAATTGTGGTAAGGGGGACAGAGGAACACAAATGGGATCTGGAACCAAGCACCTCTAGGTCATTGGCTAAAGCTGAGCCCAGATCATTCATGGCCACGCCCACTATCATCTAACAGCCCTTTGGTGGAAGCAAATTAATGGTCTCAATATAGTTCCCACTCAACAAGTAACAGCGGCAGAACTTGGCCACAACTGGTACCTGTCTGCAGATGGCAAGAAATGGCTAAGTACAGAAAGTGCATTACATTCCCCTTGCTAAGGAGAGAAGATTCCCTGCTGTTCCCACTCACTAGATAAATATGCAATGCAGTCTCCAGGGCTCTTACTCTTCCACGTTTCAATGAGCACTATATTCAGTTCATGAAATGAAGTAGTTAATCATACGCTCCTCACTCTAAGCAGTCAAAGGGAAAAAAGCAGAAACCTACCAGGACTTTATCATAGATTTTATCTTTAACTGTAATTGCGATATTCTCCAAGTCCTCATCAGTGATATCTTCAACAGGACGGTAAGATGAGTATTTAGATGACCTTCTTCTTTTGCGCACTCCACAGTCACCCTACAAAACAAACTCATCTCAGCACCGTTTGTCTTATGATGGGCAAAGAGCTTTTATCTTTAGATCAAATGTGCAATCCCACAGGCTATGACTATAACAGAACAGAACATATCAAGTAGGGTTTGTAGCCCCTCTAACTCCATATCCTTCCTATCATCCCAGTTTTCAGTGCTCTCATTAGCTCCTCTCCTTTTCATCCTTATTCCCCTATTGCTTCAACACTCTCAAAATTCCTATCCTACCTCCACTCTCTCTGTTCCTTTAAGGAAATCTGTCCTAGCCCTGACTCTCCCATCACCCCCATCTTTCAGACCTCTGGCATCATGTTCCAACAAATGCCTCATCCTTTCCTTCAATGGCAATCAACCACACCACCTATAGACTTCCTGCTTCATAGAAAATAAATCTCTGCCATCCACCTTTTCATCTCTTGCTCCCTCCATCTCCAGCATCCACAGCAGCCTAATTTTCTTCACTCCCAGTCTCATCCACAAGCAAGTGTGAGGGTTCTGCCATGTACAGCATCCCCTCTTTGTCCAGTGCATCCTTTCATTTTCCTTGAGCAATGCGCCCATCATATTCTACACTCCCTCTCCATGTAACTTATCTGCCAGCCACCGACTCCTCCCTAATCTTCTCTTGACTTTGATACTCCAAGCTCTCCTGCTTCTCCTTCCAATCCCTACCCACACCCTCTAGATATTTCAATTTTCACACTAATTCCTATCTGGCCACTCAGTCTTTGCGCTCATCTCACTTGCCATTCAACACCAGATCAACTCTCCAAAATGGCCACTCACTCAACCTCGTCTTCCTTCAGCACTATTCCCTCTCTGGTTGCGCAGTAACCGAGTTCCCTTTACAACCATCACCTCTACTTCAATGTTGCCCATATTTTTACTCTGTGACCTGCCATCCATTGGTGTCTATAACTGCTCTGCCTCTCTGAACCCTCTTCTGATTTCCTCTTCCCTCTCCTCTTATGGTTTAATAAAATTAACTCTACTTTCTCCTCCAGCATTGATTCTTTTCCACCTCTCCCCAATCAAAACCTACCCCAATAAATCCAAATGTTGGCTTATCCCCAACATCCTATTTGAGCACCCCTAATCTACTGACTGCCTTTAGAGAGCCTCACGATCACACAGATATCCACCTGAAAATTCATTTTCTCCTCTTTCCACATTCCTCAATTAATAGTGTGGATTTCCTACCTCTCTCATTGCTGTTACCATTTATGTTGGGGTACCACACAAAAGGACCTAAGCAGGGTTACAGTCCCATTGTGATTCAGCATGGCACACAGACGCAACACGAGCGAATCCTTACCAAAGTTTACCATTTATTAGCAGACATGACACACAAGTATGACTGATAAAACAAGGTATGGGGCAGGAGGACAAATGTAACAAAAAAGTAACATCACATGACTCCAAAAATTATTTTGTTGCTTATTTTCAAATTCTGATTGGGTGCTTTCCAAAGTCCTCTCCCATTCCTTTCTCTCTCCCCCCCCACACCGGTTCTGACCAATTCTTAACTTGAAGTTCGGCAAGTTCAGCCTCAATTTCTGCTCCCTTCTAACACTCTCCCTCCTTCTCTTCTGTCACCTCTCCCCCCACCTCTTTATCACCCCAGTTCTTAGCCTGCTGGAGCCTAGCGCGCCCTGGGCAACAACTGGATTTCAAATAGTAAATAATACTAATATTAGACAATGCATAATCATATCATTAGATATACTTCAAATGAGATGGGTTACATACTGGAACAGCTTGGGCGACTAGAGATGGGAGAGGCTCTGGGATCCTTTTTTCCCTCCTGTTTCTAATCCCAGCACAAAGGCTCTAAATGCTAGTTAACTCTCTGCTGCATCTGTCCCCACTCCAAATGCTTGCCAGCTCTGAGCAGCTTGAGTGGCATCTTCACACGACAAGGATTAGTAAACAAACTAAACTGGCAAATACCCCGCTCAGTCTCTTCTTTAGTAAGAGGTTTTGTTGTCTGTAATTATGGAAGTGTTCTGCAAATTTGGCTGCAGACACAGTGAAGTTTTCCAAGGCAAATTTCTCTGGTGGACGAGCATTTCTGGTTGGGTTTGTACAACGCTCTATCTGGCCTTCAGAAAATGTCCTCCTTGGGGTTTTCTTCTGTTTCTACAGGGGAAAAAATGGTTTCTATTAAAACAGTCACATCAGCCTCACTGCTATGTAATTGGGGTGGGAAGCAACCAGAGATTATATGGGCATGAAATTACCAGACCTATATATGTGTCTGCACAGATCTAGGAGGTAATCCTGGCAAATTTAGTACCACAAACCAATGCGCAGAATCTCTCTGGATGGGAAACTTGCTGCAATATTCTGTAATTGTTACTTTAAAAAAAATTGGAAAAGTGAGCATATATGTAAAAAATGAGTAAGTAATCTGTCATCGGGACAGGAGCATTCCAACTCTCTATCCCCAAGATTCTTTCCAGAATAAAAATACTGAATACATATTACTAGATTCCAGAGATTTAAAGTAGGTTTAATATGTCACAATTAATACTTGAAGTGCCATCAATGATGAGCCAGACTTTCATATATTTTGTAATTTAAAATATGAAGACAAACATATTTATCTTTTAATGTATCTCAACATATTTAAAATATATTAAGACACAAATGACAAACATTTACAAGGACACCTCCAAGTCAGGAACATGTCTGTGCAATCCTCCTCATGCATGTGGAATACTTGGTAAATTAACATTATTCCACAGTAATCACTGTGGATTAGGGATTTCTAAGCCAAAAAGAGATGCTCCAGAGGTAGAAATAGAAACATCCTGCTATGCAAGACTGACTGAATTTTCCCATCACAACTCTACTTAAAACATGGATTTTAACAGAAAGAAAAATTAGCAAGAAACTGACAATCTGAAAACAAACTTCAGTTTCTTCACTCTCTCTAGCTTTCCAGCTACAAGATCCTATTTGCCCTTTAACCACCATTCTCAAATACAGGCAGTCCCCGACTTACGCGGATCCGACTTATGTCGGATCCGCACTTACGAACGGGGCTCTCTCGCCCCGGAGCTCGCAGGCAGCGGGACCGCCCAGAGCGCAGCGGTCCCGCCACCTCGACCTCCGAGGTGAGAAAAGCTGCTCCGGGTGCCCCTGGTCTGCTGGGGACCGTCTCCAGCAGACCAGGGACACCTGGAGCAAAGCCAGGGAGGCGCAGGACTCCGCCGCCGCTGCAGCTTTGCTCCCGGTGTCCCTGGTCTGCTGGATACGATCCCCAGCAGACCAGAGGCACCGGGAGCAAAGCCGCAGCTAGTGCGTCCCCCCCTCCCCAGCAGACCAGGCTTTTGTTGTGGACCCTGGGGTAGAGCAGCTGGGTGCTGCCGGGTTGGTCCTGCAGGGACCTACCTGGCAGCCCAGCTGTTCTGTCCCAGGCTCGAGATTCAGCCACTGTTGAAACTGATCAGTGGCTGATTCCAGGAAGCTGGGGGCAGAGCAATTCTGCCTCCAGCTTCCTGTAGTCAGCCCCTGGTCAGTTTCAGCAGCAGCGGCTGAATCTGGAGCCAGTTCCGACTTACATACAAATTCAACTTAAGAACAAACCTATAGTCCCTATCTTGTTCGTAACCCGGGGACTGCCTGTACATACATTTGTTTGTCCAGTGTCTCATGAGCCTCTCTGGGCCTAAGTTAATGAAGTCGTGCCTAATTTCACTTCTGTATATTCAAAAGAAACACTGTGCAATTTGAGATGTTTCTTTACATGCATATCTTGGTAACCTAGCCCTGCCTTTTTACATAACATCTAACTAATATCAAATCAATACAAATAAAATTCCCAAAAAGAAAAACATTCATCAGAAGACACAAATCTCATTAAAGTTCAGCTACAATATACATTTAACCAAACAGTGAAAAACTTACAGAAGGAGTTGAGGTTGGTGTTTTCACTGGAAACAGTTCAGGTATGGAATTCAGTTCTGCTAATAATTGGGCAAGCTGAAATTAATAAAGAAATCCTATTGAAGTCTTGCTGTAAACTTGAAAATATTTAACCTACTCATTCCTTACCATGCTCTGCTCTCACACATTCTCAGTTATTTCAAATACATTAAATTCCAGTGTAAGTAACCATTCTTTAAAACACTTCATTTAAACCTCTACCCCTAAACATTCTGCAGCAGATTTTAGCACCATGAATCCCATTGATTTTTACTGAAGTCGTGCAGCTAAAATCACATCCAACTCTGTCAAATATGGCTCTAGAGAATTGTGTTATACTGAGGTTACAGTATCCATGACCAATAATGACTGAAATTTTCACTTAACATGGGAAAGCTAATCCCTTGACAACAAGAGTGGACCTAACTGTATCAAGGGATTATAAGAGGTAAGAGGTTTCTTGTGGGCTCTCTTGGCACATATACTTTCCTAATACAAAATTGCTGGCACACTGTTATTTTGACAGTGCAGACTTAGGCTATGTACACACAAAGCTTACATTGGTATAAATTATGTCGCTCAGGGATATAAATAAGACAACCCCCAACACTGATGTAACTTACACTGATCTAAGCACCCACGTGGACAGCAGTAGATGGGCAGAACAGCTACTCCCTGTTTGCAGGGGGCTGGAGTAATTAAGTCAATAGAAGACCTCTTCCTAGATGGCATAGAGCAGCAGCAAGTGCTGTATTTAGGGATGTTCGATATTGGGTAACTGAAGAGTCAGGCATGAGTTCTTAGTGGCTATTCAACTATTCTATAGCCCTCCCGTCTCCCCCGAGGGGGGGGGGCAGCAACCAGTGCAATCTGGCCCCACTCCCAGGGAGCCCCCTGCACCTTATGCTGCTGCCTTTGTATCAGAGGCAGCAGCAGCGTGGGGTGCCAGGTGGGAGCTGGTCTCTGAGAGGAGCCAGTTTAAAAACCAGCTCCCTGTGCACACTGGCTGCCTCTCCTGCCCCCTTCCCCTCCTGTGCTGCTGCCTCAGATACAGAGTGCTGCTCTGGGCAGGGAGGCTGCATACAGAGGGGTGGTCTGTACATGGGGTGGTCTGAACTCCCTCCAGCACTGGCTCCTGCTTCCCTCTACTTACAGGAATGCGAGTAGTTGAGAAGATCAACCGGTAAGCCTAGGCTTAGCTGCTAACTGTATACTCGACTACTCGTTTACATCCCTAGCAGCCAGAGTCTTAGTGACGTTTTGTTGGCTGATCAGAATTTTCTCCTAGTCATTCTTTATCAGAACCCAGTGAGAATAGTCAGTAGCTTTCCTTTTACAATAGCCCAGCACAAGTTCTTTACTAGTGAATCCACAGCTCACTCATTCCATGGAGCAGATTGGAGGTGGCCTAGCTTTAGTAATAAAGCTTTGTGTGTGTGTGAGAGTATGAACACACCTCTTTGCAAAATAAGGTACTAAAATACTCCTGTTGGTCAGCACCACCCCACCATGGCAAGTGTGATGTCACCAGCACAGTGCAAGCTAGGAAAAGCAGCAGTAACACTTCGATGTACTTATAATACATGAAAGACCTAAACTCAGGTCCTGGACCTGTGTCTCTCTTCTCTACATCACCTTGACTGGCTGTTTTGAAATACTATTGAGTTGCTCTGAAGGGGGTCAGAGGCTAAGTTTCAACAGCTGCTGATGTAACCACCACCAGGCAGATTTCAACCTGGGACCTGTGGAGCTCAGTATAGGCACCTCTATCCTCTGAGCTAAAAGCCAGCTGGCTCCCAGCCTGTGTTGGAGAGGTCTTTTGGTCTTATCTGTTGCATGGGACAGTGAACCACACTAGATGTGTGGGTAACACTGATATTAGGGAGCACCGTAAGAAGGAAAGACCTGAAATGGGGGAGATTTTTGGCTATCAAGCCTCTGAAATAACCATGGCAAAAATTACATGTGGACATGAAAAGGCCACAATGAGTACATGGCATTTCTCAGTAAAAACCTAATGTGATTTTAAATATCTAAAAAGAGACATATTAAATATCCCCCATTAGTAGTCTGGAGGAGAATAAAGAAAACGTTAAAGAAATTCACACAGATACTAAACTGGGAGTGATTTTAAATACCAGTAAGTACAAAGGATAGTTATTTTACCCACGTGACCGTGGGTTCTGCTAGACATTTCCCCAGAACAGGGTCAGCTGGGGACTCCCCAGCTGACCCCAGTCTCCACATAGGGAAGTGCTGCACAGCTGATCTCAGGATCAGCTGTGCCACGCTGCTGCTTTGAAGTACCCTCACTTCCCCCCTTTTGCTGTCTCTATCTGATAGTTGCAGGGGGGAGGAATTGACTAATCAATTAGTCCTTAACATCCCTAGTAAGAACAGCACAATTATACAGAGGAACCAAGATAGATTAGGAACAAGGGTAAGAAACTACAAAGTGAGCTTTAACTTGGAAAGATACAAGCCCGTAGCCCTGGAGGGAAATAATAAAATGTTCATGCCCAATGGGAAGCAGGAACAAGAGAAGCAGTAAATCTGAAAGGGCAACAGGAGTCCCAAGTATGTTATGGGTTTGTATCACAATATGGCAGCAGTAAAGCCAAAGGCATCACAGCACAAAACAGGAAGGTAACAGTCTCCCTCACACATGATGCACCAGCATGAAAGTTTTAACACTTCTCAAACAAGTGAACAATATACACTTAGGGTGTGTCTATACAGCAAAGTTATTTCGGAATAATGACTGTTATTGCAAAACAACAATGCGAGCGTCTACACAGCAATTCCGTTATTTCAAAATAATTCCAAAATAACAAACGGCTTATTCCGGCTTCTGTAAACCTCATTCTACGAAGAACACCACCTACTCCAAAACAGCTATTTTGGCATGTGTATATGCTATTTCGAAATAGCCCCTCACCAGGGCTATTCTAAGTTATTCCTCCTGGGGCTCTAAATCGAGATAGCATGTCCACATTAGGGAAGCCTGCCTTGGACGAATTTTGAGGCTTCCCTGCAGTGTAGACGTACTATTTTGAAATAAGCTATTTTGGAATAACTATTCCAGAATATCTTATTCTGAAATAACTGTGCAGTGTAGACGTAGCCTTAGAGATACAAAAGTCTTGATTGCTTTATCTTATTTTTCAATTTAGAAAACTGCAATAGATCTCAGTCACTAATGCAAATTAGCAACTCTACTGTACAATCTCACAATGAAGCACTTAAGAAAATGGACAGCAATGCTTTTTGATAAGGTCTAGTTATAAGGTATGTCTTCACCACATAAGTAACCTGGGCTAATCCCACTCCTGTCCACACACTTAAACCTCTGCCCTGGGTTTTGTGGTACTTTCAGCCCAAACTAGCCGGCAAGGCTCAGGGTATACAGGCTGGAGCCCAGGTGAGGCTTTCCACTCACGCAGGAAATCTATACACTTTGTAGCAAGAATGCAACCACTTCAAGGCCTTTCCCTGTTCCTCCCAGTGAGCCTAGGGCAGACAAGTTTCCCACAACTCACTGGGAGTGGCTCAATTTACTGTAGCATAAAGGAATATCCTCACAGAAGGCCTAATGATGCACATACAAGAGAGTGTATCACCAGCTGGACACAGTAACTCAAGTACGGCTTTGCAGTGTGGCTGCTCACACCCGCACAAAGCTAGCCTGAGGACTCGAATGCCACTAACTCAGTAACTCTGTAGTGGAAGACATACCCTTATTGAGTATTAACTTTCGTCGGCTGGGTCTTACCATGGCTTTATTTTCTTTGATGTTCATGGCTCTTTTAAGCAGAGCACTGGAGCTTTCTTCCTGCGTCTCTTTAACATCCTCCTCAGACTCAGAGGCAGACCCCTCTAGTTTCTTCCATCGCTTGCTATTTTTCTCTCTTGTGATAGTTTTAGGGGAGTTATTGTCTTGCAAGTGTAACTTGGAAAAAGTTGTTTCGGGCACCTTCTTCTTTGTAGATTTTCTTGAGGGGAACTGAAATGCCACACGAAGGCCAAAGCTTCTTCTCTTGAGGGAAGCCTTCTCTTCTGCCTCGTCCTCCTCGCTACCCAGTAAAGATAAATGATTGTTCTCTCCATCACTCAAATCTGATTCCACTGGCTGAAAGCAGAGATCATTAGTATGGTATATTGATAGCTGTCACATGGGAACCAGCCACTTTTTACCCTTGTTATTAGAATAAGTATCAGAATCTGAAAAACTGGAAACTTCATTGTGTGTTTTGCTAAAGAGTTTAAAATAAAAATAAAATGTTTCACAGTGGGTGCAATTCTGTCCTTTGCTCCACCAGCTCAATGCCCACTAATTATATAAAGATGTGAGACATAAGGAGCACATAGATTTTGTGTTGAACCTCAGCACAGGAATGAATTTCATTCGCTGTGAAAAGTTTCTAATCTCCTATCCTTCCCTTAAGCAGATAGGACTTAGTTATATGCACTAGTTGATACTTTCCATCTCTGTCTTTTATGATACATTAATAAAAGATTAACTATTAAGGAAAATTGTGCTAAAAACAAATACTTAACCAAACAATTATTTTCAGCACAAATATTTTACACTGTTAAATAAGAAAATAAATTTCAACCAGCAGTATGAAAACACAAGGACTGTACAAAGAAAGAAAAAGGGGCAGGAAGAGTCCGTGTATGAATCTGAATACAATGAAAATGTTAGCTTTACCTTTATTCCATTTGCATTGTTTACATCCAGCTCACTCGGAGCAAAGCCCTCAAATACTTCATTCTCTGAATCAGTGTCTTCAGTGAAAATTCTCCTCAATTCCTCAGTCAGGTACTTAGATTGAAATCGAACATCCTGTTGAACAAGTATACAGGAATTACAACAACCAGGACACAGTTTGCATCCAAATTTATTTCCCAAGCCAAATCAGAAAATGCTTAATGGAAATGAGTTACTAAGCAGATGGTATGTTCCTGTGAAAATGTTAAGTGTAAAATCTGTCACAAGAAAAAGATGCACTGGGTTTAAGCCCTATCAGTTATTTCAAATGAACAGGGATACTTTCCACTTTTGCTATGTTTTTTAAAGGTGAGCTCAGATAATTTTTAAAAAAATTGAGCTTGTATCCTTCTTTGCTTCCTTATGGTGCACAAGCAGAGCTAAGAAGGATTTGCTTAAAAATAGATTTGTTTTTAAACCTCAGAAATAACAATTCTGGTCTTCTGTGAGTTCAATGGAAATGTTGGGAGAGGTGGTCTGTCACACTTTAACTGAAGTGAAGAGGAAACTAATCAGCAAAGGTTCCCTTTACCCAAAAAGTCAGTTCATCACTGAAGTTCAATAAAGTGAAAACAAAAATGAAAAGTTTTAAACAATCTAACTAAAAATTCTTTTGCTCAATTTCTACTCTCCTCCTCTGCTCTTGGAGTATCATTTTATTAATTCTCTGGTCATCTTAGTGTCTTCGAAACTAGATAGAAAGCAAATTTCTAACATTAAAAACTAGTGAAAAGAAAAATATTTTCCACAAATAAATAAAGAATCTCCAAATGCCTTTCAGGTCTTGCATGCACATCAAATATTTTACACACAAGTGGTTTACTATACATATAAAAAAAGCAGCAATATACATCTCATGATGAGAAAGGGAGACTTTAAAAGAAACAATATAAAAAAACTTCAGAATTTACATCAATGTGTCACTACTGCTATTGCAAAAAATAAGACTAGCTCAGGGCAGGGTTCATACACACAATCACATTGCACCTGCCTTTTGAAACTCAGCATCATTCAGTTGATACAGTTTGCTTCTCCAGTTTTCCTTGGATGTTTTTAACTCCCACACAAGATACAGAAATGACCTTTCATACAACTACACTTGGCTAAAAATCTTTATTTTTTCCTTCAATTCCCTCCCTTCCCCAACTTTAATTATACACTTCTTTATATTGAGATAATATCTGGTGAAAAATAGATATAATAGATGAGTGGAAAAACTTGCAGGGGAATAGAGGAAAAATCATTGCATATACTGTTTCTTTACACTTAAAAGATCTCCTACAAATTATTATGGGTAATTGGAGTGAGTTTTCTCTGAGCAAAATTACTTTGTTCTTTTGTTGATAGCTGCAGTGCAGCTGCTAGAAAAAGGAACAAACATAAAAGGAAAGTAACTTGAAAATGAAATTGTATTTTTCTCTGAGAAAAATTAAGTTTGTGTTTGCTCTGAACTTGCATAAAACTTTGCAGCGCTGTCTAGAAAGAAGACTGTCAGTTTGCTAGCTCTGTGACAGTGCCTGAAAATAGGGAATTAGGACCAATGATGTGTAAGAACAGTACAGCCTGATGCTTCCAACACTGAGATGTCCTTAATAGTAATTTACTACAAGCAAGCAAGGAGAAACAAGTGCAACTAGACTATATCTACTCTACAAGTGCTACAGCAGCAGACCTGAAGCACAGCAGTTACAGTACAGTAACGCTGTAACATAGATGCTTTCTACATTTATAGAAATGGTTTTCCATCTATGTAATTAAACTATCCCTTTAAAAGGTGATGGAAGAATTCTTCCACTGACCTAGCTGTGCCTATACTGGGAATTACATTGCCTAACTATTATGCTCAAGGAATGAAATATTTCACAACCCTGAGCAACATAGCTAGGTTGACCACATGTTTAAGTGACACAAAAGAGTTTCAGAGAGGTAGCCATGTTAGTCTGTAACAAAAACAAAAAGTAGCTGGGACACCTTAGAGACTAACAAATGAATCTAGTATCATGAGTTTTCATGGGCAAAATCCACTAATTATCTGATTAAGTGGATTTTGACCACAAAAGCTTATGAAACTATATACTTTCGTTAGTCTCTAAGGGCACGTCTAAACACCAGCGTTATTTTGAAATAACTAGGTGAGCGTCTACACAGCAAGCACACTATTTTGAAATCATTTCAAAATATCAGGCGCCTTATTCAGAATTCTGTAACCCTCAATTTACGAGGAATGACACCTATTTCAAAATAATTATTCATTCCTTGAGCATAATTATTTTGAAATAGGGCATGTGTAAAAGGGGGAGCAGAGGTTATTTCAAAATAACTGGCCTCCAGGGATTCTCACATTTGCCCTGGTGGCCACTCTGTCCACACTCATCAGAACTCCCCTTCAGCCCTTAAAGCTGCAGCTTCAGGGTAAACAGTTTGTGGCACGATGAGAGCCTTGCTAGCCCTGTGCTGCACAGCAGTGCCCAGCTCTGACTTCCCTGCTGCCATGGCAGACCCCAGCACTCCTTCTGAGCCCCCACTGCTGCGGCAGTTCCCAAGCCTCTGCCCCGGGGCAGAAAAGGCAGGCCCCATCCTAGACTGGTCTCATGGGGTATGTCTACACTACAGCGCTAATTCGAACTTAGTTCGAACTTAGTTCGAATTAGTTAAATCGAACTAAGCTAATTCAAACTAACGCATCCAGACTAAAAAACTAGTTCGAATTAGCGTTTTGCTAATTCGAACTAGCATGTCCACATTAAGTGGACCCTGAACCGGGGTTAAGGATGGCTGGAAGCAGTGCCGGCAGGGCATCAGATGAGGACTTAAGAGTGTGGAGCTGCTGTCTCAGGCTAGCCGAGGGCTGTGCTTAAAGGGACCCGACCCCCACCCCGGACAGACAGTTCTCAGGGGTGCCCCTCTTGCAAAGCAGTCCTGGCTTGGAGTGCCCGGAGTACCCACACTGGGCACATCACAGCACTCGGCCATCAGACCGGCTGCACTTGCCGCAGGCTGCCATCTGGGGAGAGGGG